AGTATCTTTATGTGAGAAAATTTTTAATTTAAATGTTTTCCTGAATCCAACCCAGTTTCTTCATTATAAGGACAGTTACATTTTGTGGATGTATTTATGATGCTGAAAACCAACTTTCTAAATCAATGCAGATACTCTGTATATGCCCAACTGTCACACTCAGCCAACTATCAAAAACTTGTTGCTTTAAAAAAACAACAAAAAAAACCTTGTTGCTTTCATTAGCCCTTTAATATTTTTGTTATTTGTGATCTTGCATTACTCAAACTTTTCTTTGGAGGCTCATGTAACATTAGCATTTTGTCTGTCTTGCAATCCCTGCTTCCACTGCAAATCACAGGATTAATGATAGATAACTCTACCACTAAGAGTTTGAACTTGTGCCCAGGCAGAGCAGCCAAAGATGATTTAAAAAATCACCTTTATTGAGATATAATTCACATACCATAAGATCCACACATTAAAAGTACACAAGTCAATGGTTTAAGTATATTCACAGAGTTGTAATATAAGTTTAGAATATTTTTAATACCTTCCCAAAACCCAGTACCCATTAGAAGTCTCTCCCCATGTCACTTGTCCCCAGTTGAGGCAATCACTAAACTACTAGTAAGTTCTGTCTCTATAGCATTGCATAGAATGGAATCATGCAGTATGTGGTGTTTTGCATCTTTCCTTTCACTTAGTATCATGATTTCAAGGTTCCTCCATGACCTAGCTGCACCGTGATGGCGAACCTTTTGAGCTCGGCGTGTCTGCATTTTGAAAAACCCTAACTTAACTCTGGTGCCGTGTCACATATAGACATTTTTTGATATTTGCAACCATAGTAAAACAAAGATTTATATTTTTGATACTTATTTTATATATTTAAATGCCATTTAACAAAGAAAAATCAACCAAAAAAATGAGTTCACGCGTGCCATAGGTTCGCCATCACTGAGTCCTAGCATATCAGCAATTAATTCTTTTTTTAAAAAAATATATTATTAATTTTTTTACATAGAGAGTTAGAAAGATCGATGAGAGAGAAGTATCGACCAGCTGCCTCCTGCACACCCCCTACTGGGGATGTGCCCGCAACCAAGGTACATGCCTTTGACCAGAATCGAACCTGGGACCCTTCAGTCCACAGGCCAATGCTCTAGCCACTGAGCCATACCAGTTAGGGCAGCAGTTAATTATTTTTATTGCAGAACAACATTCCATTCCCTCGACATACTGCATTTTATTTATCTGCTCATCAGTTAGTGGACGCAGAATAATTCTTAAAACCACACCTTTCTAAATTCTTCAAGTCCAGGTTGCTGGGATTTACCCAAGATAAAAAAGAGAGACAAAATGGCAAATCAAACACTATTATTGGTTATAGGAAGCAGAGAGTTTCCTTCTTCCTTAGTCAATGAGCAGAACATTCCCTTATGTGCTTACCTTGTCTGGTACATTTTTGCTCAACATGAAAGGAAAGACTCGTTCATGAAGCCAGTACTTGCGATCATGGCTATTACAGCCATATAGGAAGATGTTATTCTTGCGGCTGTGGCCATGGAAATCACAATACAAGAGAACTTCCCTTTCTTCGAGAAGTCTATTAAGGGGAGTAAACAAAGGACTCAGTGGACTCCAAATGCATGGATTTTTTTGGAGTCTCTTCCTCAGTATGTCTGTTGACACCTTCCTTTCTAAGAAAATGTTGACCCCTAATGGCCTTCAGAGGACCCTATCTCCACCCACAGCCACTGCTGTAAACTCGGCATCAGTACTCCTTGCCCCTGCCCGACAGAAGGACTTGAGATGTGCTGATGTGGAAAGGGATGGTGGGTAGGCCTTGTGTAAATGGACAAGTGGAGGAAATCTGTTCAAAGAAAGCCCACCCTGGTGCAGACTTGTGGAAAGAGGGGAGAGGTAGAGAGGCTGTAATTGCAGGGATGAAAAAGACAGAACCAAAGAAAACCTTGGGTCCTCATTTCCAGGGCTCGTTCCTACAAGGCTCAGATCTGCCTGATCTCCTGATCACCCAGGACACCTATTCAATCTTCCAAATGAGGTCACCATCCCCCTGATGGTCACAGGATGAAGAGTATGATAACAATGCCACACATTAACAGTGGCTGGGTACTGTGCTAAGTAGATGACATGTTAGCTCACCATTTATATATATATTTTTAAATATATTTTTATTGATGTCAGAGAGGAAGGGAGAGGGAGAGAGAGATAGAAACATCAATGATGAGAGAGAATCATTGATTGGCTGCCTCTTGCACACCCCACACTGGGGATCAAGCCTGCAACCTAGGCATGTGCGCTGACTGGGAATTGAACCATGTCCTCCTGGTTCATAGGTCAACGTTCAACCACTGAGCCACGCCAGCCCGCTCTCACCATTTATATTTTCTATCTCTCCCTCTCCCTTCCTCTCTGAAATCAATAAAAATGTATTTTTAAAAAAGACTGTCTCAAAAGACACTTCCAATTCTTACAACATTAGAAGAGCTCTTCCCTCTTCCCCCAGTCCCTGCCATTAGATAGTGCTCACAGGAATCCGAGAAAGTTCAACAGATTAGGGGACTCACCTCTTGATCATGTTCCTGGTGTGCCAGATGCAGGGGAATGACTCCTTCAGAATGGTCTTATAATGCCTGTTCAAGTCCCTGCCAGCCAACGAACACCGGTAATTCCCCACAATCACGCCATCTGGATTTAACATGGGAATCACTTTGAAGACAAAGATATCTCTGAGGAGCTCGGCATCTGGGGAGTTGCTAAGAATGAAGTCCAAAAAGCCTTTCATGATCCAGGAGCCATTACTTTCCCCAGGGTGAACCCTGGCACTCAAGACCACGGCTTTCTTTGCAGCAGCCTCTTGCGTGGTTCGGGACGGGTTGGTGATGGTGAGCAGGTACACGGTATTTCCTGCAAGGCTCCTGCATAAAGTGCGGAGTTTGCAGAACTGAGACTGGACAGGGTTTTTTGCCACCGACATGAGGTAGCATTGCAAATCCGTGTATGTATATGGGTAGAAGTGTGCAAAGAAGCAAGTGTCCTGGTCATGAGGAAACTGAATGGTCCACGTGAGACAGTAAAAGGACTGCTGCCCATTATCTGTGTTGTTCTTGTAGTACTTGATTTCATTTCCTTCTCTCCTCCAGCCAATGTTGTAGATGTTGGCATCCAATTGGGAGTACATGAGTGGCTTCATTCCTATAGTATAAAGGCTCTTGGGTTTTAGCAAGTTGACAATGGTGAAGCGATAGGTGGCATCTTTTCTGGTGTTTTGAACTCGAAAATAAAACCACTGAGTGTGTTTGTTCGTGTAGAGGTCAGTTCGTAAGGTGAGTTCATACTCATAGGTGTCTCTGTAATGAAGAATATAGAATATCTCTATAATACCTCCCTCAAAAAATAAATATGGGAAAACATTGTTTTTCCCTGGTAAAAATAGATCAAATCACAACAGAAAGGCTGCTACATCAAACATTTGTTTTCTAATTTACTTAGTTCTCCAACTCATGTTAGGCTAACAGGGACTTGGGGGAAGAACGTGCATTTGGGGTGGGACAGAAGAGTTTCATAATTCACATGCAGCACCGCATGTTTGGGTGCGCTGAGCTTCTTGGTGCCTTTCTAGAGCCCAGAAGGTGGTTTCCAAACACTTCAACTCATTTCCCCGAAACACACTGAACTCAGGGAAGCCGGAGCCCTCTGTTGGCTGTACCTACATCCTGGGCATCACCAGGATGGATCAGACCCTTAAGCTTCCTGTGCTATTTTCCTCTCTTATCATCAATTGTTTGAAGATAAGGGGGCTTTGCCGGAATGCATGCACCTTGTGGAAAAGTAGGCCTAACCTGCAGGAGAGGAAATACAAATGCCAAAAACATGAAAAGATGTTCATCCGCATGCATCATGAAAGAAATACAGATTAAAACAGGATGTCGTTCTTTTCCCCTACATCTCAGCAACATTTCAACATTGTGAAACAGGCCCTCTCATCCACAGTTGATGGGAACTGAAATCATGCTGGAGGGCAATGGGGCAAAACCTAGCAATGCTTAGTGTTCAAACCCTTTGACCCACCAATTTTATATCAGAATTTGTTCCATAACACCACAAATACTAAAAAGTATACATGCACAAGGGTGTGAATTCTGTTCATTCATTTAATAAAAAATTGTAAATGTCTTAATTTCTCATCAGGTGGGAATAGGGTAAATAGGTATGGAACACTCATATAATAGAACAAGATGAACTATTAAAAATAAGGACATATGTCTGTGGTATTGTCATAGAAAAACATCTAAAATATATTAAGTGGAGCCCTACCTGTTTTGGCTCAATGGACAGAACATGGGGGTCAGGGTTTGATTCTGGTCAAGAGCCCTGTACCTTGGTTGCAGGTACGTGTGGGAGGCAACCAATTGATATGTCTCTCTTACATTGATGTTTCTCTTTCTCTCCCCCTCCCTTCCACTCCCTCTAAAAATCAGTGGAAAAATATCCTCAGGTGAGGATTAACAAAAAATAAATAAAATAAAATGTACTAAGTAGAAAAAAGCCAATTTGCGCCGAAACCGGTTTGGCTCAGTGGATAGAGCATCAGCCTGCAGACTGAAAGGTCCCAGGTTCGATTCCGGTCAAGGGCATGTACCTTGGTTGCAGGCACATCCCCAGTAGGAGATGTGCAGGAGGCAGCTGATCCATGTTTCTCTATCATTGATGTTTCCAGCTCTCTGTCCCTCTCCCTTCCTCTCTGTAAAAAATCAATGGAATATATTCTAGAAAAAGGAAAAAAAAAAGCCAATTTGCAAAAACAGTGTCCAAATATATACACCATTACCCTATTTTTAAAAATATCTAATTTGTGTGTATTACACAGAGAGAGAAACAATTAATGCATAGACATCAAACTGTTATCAATTGCTTGTGTCTGGGAGTCATGATTATAGGATTCAAAATTTTGTCAATATAAATTTTATATGAGCACTAATTTCTTTTATAAACAGAAAAAAAACAATTTAGATAAATTTTTATTCTGGGGGGAAAAATCATTTCCCTTCATCTCTTTCGCAGAAACACTGACTCTGACTATGATTCTTGAAGACACTTCTCAGTCACTTTAATCACCATCCCTTTGGGTAAACCCACTTTGTTACTCACACTTTGACAGCTTTTTGCAGATTCCCACTCTCAAACCTTGATTCAAACAGGAGAGTGTTATCGTCTGGTCCTTGCAGTGTGACAGCGAGCTCCTTGATCACTCCCCGCTTGCCTCCCACTCTGGAGCTGGTGAAATAGGAGCCTTTGGTGGGCACTGCAGGTGAGACAGACATATTTAGCCACATTCCTGTCAGAACCCATTCATCCAGCATATTCTTTGCGCCCCTCTGTCTTCAGCAGCACTGCCCTAGGTTAACAACAATGAATATTCTAATTTTCAGTTGTTCTTGCTGAGACTTTTCATTCTAAAGTATATTTCTCTGAAGGACTCTTTAGAGCACTTCCTTTTGCTACAGGCAACCCTTGTCAGCGCAGATAGTACTGCTTGTGCCCATTTGAATACTAATTTAAAAGGATGTTGGCAAAAGGTAATATTCTAAATCAAGCATCTGAGAACATCTGAAACCTTATTTTTTAAAAAATATATTTTATTGATTTTTTACAGAGAGGAAGGGAGATAGAGAGTTAGAAACATTGATGAGTTGATGAGAGAAACTTCGATCAGCTACCTCCTGCACACCTCCTACTGGGGATGTGCCCGCAACCCAGGTACATGCCCTTCACCGGAATCGAACCTGGGACCTTTCAGTCCGCAGGCTGACGCTCTATCCATTGAGCCAAACCGGTTTCGGCATGAAACCTTATTTATAAACACACAACAAATAGCACCTATTTATTGATTTAAGAAAAAGATAAGGGGAACAACAAAAAAGAGAAAACATAGTAGATGCCATAAAATGTTTTGATATATGCTTTTAGATTTAAATATAACAAAAATAGCAGTTTGAGAATTGGCATGGGTGAATGCCCCTGGGAAAGGAACCAAAATGTAGTTATCAGTGAAAAGGAAGGTCACAATTGAAATTTTAACTTTAAAATGAAATTTTAAAAATGTATGAAATTTATCTTATTTAACAAAATTTATTTTTTATTGCTTAAAGTATTACAAAGGGTATTACATATGTGTCCATTTCCCCACCCAACCCTAGACAGTCCCCTAACCTCCCCTATCTCCCAGTGTCTTATGTCCATTGGTTATGCTTATATGCATGCATACAAGTCCTTTGGTTGATCTCTTACCCCCCCTACCTCCTGCTTATTTAACAAAATTTAGATTATAATCACAACCTCTTTCTAATACTTGGGATAATAAAGAATCAATTACTATTATTTTTTTGTGGGGTTATAATTTTTCAGACAAATTCAGTAAGGGTGCCATATGACCTCTTTGTTTTGGCAGTTACTTTTGCAAAACTTTCTTAGGACTTCATAGTTCCCTAAGGACTTCCCTTTGTACCACAATGTTCTCATCTTTGTGTCTAGAAGAACCTATTTTTGTCATCTTTTGTTGATTTTGTCTTTGCCAATTGATAAAAAATTTTCTAGGTTCTCATTTGTCAGTGGTTTTGCAAATGATTCAAGCAATTCTGTAACATTCATCAACTTCTTTTTCATAAAATCCTGCATCTCTTGTTAAAAATTGTAATTTCACTTTGCAATGGATTTTTATTTATTTGCATTATATTACCAGATGTTAATAATATCCATCAATCAGCAAGTGACTGACACCACCAAAGATGCTGACCATGGAACATTAAACAAATAGTAATATGTGTGGGGCACGATTATATAAGTGGTCAGTTCATTAGTAAATACAGTAATGCTATGAAGACTTTTTCTCCTATGCGACCATGTCACTAGAAAGACTTTATAATAAACATATAATAAATAAACTATATAATAAAATAAATGAGAGTGAAGGAGGACTCAAGCTTGAAAAGAAGTGGGTGAAAGAAGAAAACAAGCACAGAGGAAGAAACAAAGGCAGAAGCCAAGAGTCCATGTTGTCTAAGTAAAAGCTGGGGCCCCACATGGTTCAGTCTCCTCATGAAACCAGAGTACAGCCCAGTGACCAGATGTCATTATATAGAAATTCCAATATTTTCTTGAGTCTCTTAGGTAACATTAAAGATCCAATTCATAGCTCACAGTAACATTTCTCAAAAAAAACAAAACCAATTTCCTTTTTTCCTCTAATATTCCCACAGCATGTAGTTGCTGTGGGGCCCCTAAAATGACAAACTCCCAAATTCCCTCTGGAGCCTCATCTTCTCAGTTTTCTGCTTCTTTACTCATCCAATTAGGTGGGTTCAACTCTCCATGAATCCAAAGGACAAGATTAAGGCAGTGGCCACAACTGTGTGTTAACAAAACAAGGACAGTCTGCAAGGGCTGCCATATCAGGAGAAAGCACTTCCACCCCAGGGTTCCTTCTTGGGTAAGATACAAAAAATATCTCTGGCTAGAACAGATGAAGCGACTCCAAACCTGTAAAACAGGTTTATAATCCCGAGGTTGTAGAAGCAGCACAGAACCTATTATCTAAAACCTAAGTCTACCCACTTATACCTCATACCTTTTAAATGCCTTCCAAATGCCTCCTCAGATATTCCACAAGGTGGAGCTAGGTGGACTGAGTTGTTCCACCTTATTTACTTCACTAGAGGCCTGGTGTGTGAAATTCATGCACTGGGGGTGGTGGGTGGGGCGGGGGGGAGTGGAGTCCTCAGCCCAACCTGCACCCTCTTGCAGTCTGGGAGCCCTCGGGGGATGTCTGACTGACGGCGTGAGGAGCAGGCCTAAGCCGGCAGTTGGACATCCTTAGTGCTGCCATGGAGGCGGGAGAGGCTCCTATTACCGCCACTGCGCTTGCCAGTTGTGAGCCTGGTTTCTGGCTGAGCGGCGCTCCCCCGGTGGGAGCACACTGACCACGTGTGTTGAGCAGGATCGGGCTGAAACCAGCTCTCCAACATCCCTGAGGTATCCCAGATTGTGGGAGGGTGCAGGCCAGGCCAAGGGACCCCACCGGTGCATGAATCCATGCACCGGGCCTCTAGGTAAAAATAAATTAATAACTAAGATCGACTAACTGGGCCTAAATTTTTCTAAAATTTAGTCCCTTAACATGGTACAATTTTACAGATATAATATAATCATATTATGCTTTGATTGGTTGAACGATCGACTGGCCAACAGGCCACTTAGCATATTAGGCTTTTATTATATAGGATTGCTTATAGCTTTTCCCAACATATTATTATTAACATGAGAGTTCATAATCAAGGAAACTGTGGTGGAGTATGTGCAATTACATCTCAGTGGGGCCCTCGGGAATAACTGGCTCATTTTTTCTTCCACTTGAGGAATGTAAGCACACGGTTGTCCCTTCTATTTCTGGTTGTTTCTCCAAAAGCTTTCCCTTGTGTCACTTCTTTAACCTTTTGCACTCCAACGTTGAGGCTGACTCAACAGACCAGGCACTAGTAGCAGGTCCAACGTCGAGTTGGTGATTGAGCTAGTTGGCAATTTCCGCCAGGGAACTATTGCAACCAAGAGAGGAAGGACTTCCAATTCGGACCAGACTGTTTGAATTCCAAAAATAAAATTGGAGCGCAAAGGGTTAACACATCTCTTTCTACTAACTAAACTTTGTGCAGATTCCTCTTCCAATAAAACAGGTTTCCTTTCTGATAATTATTACTTAACAGAGATTGATTTTTCAAATTAGGAGGATATTTTTTTGCTTTCTATTTCTTGAACACAGTATTTTCCAACTTCAGAGAATTACTTTTAAAGAG